AGTTTTAGTTATTTGCTAATATTTTGATATTATGTTAGCCTCCTAGACTCACTTTGTGAAATAGGTAGTCATATAAATCTAAATAATAATAATAATAATAATTTGACAAATTCTGACCCCTTTCTAACCACTTGCAGGACTCTTACAATCATGCTAATGTGAATGTCACAGGGGAGGAGAAAGTTCGTGTCTTTTATTGTTTTAGTTATTTGCTAAGATTTTGATATTATGTTAGCCTCCTAGACTCACTTTGTGAAATAGGTAGTCATATAAATCTAAATAATAATAATAATAATAATTTGACAAATTCTGACCCCTTTCTAACCACTTGCAGGACTCTTACAATCATGCTAATGTGAATGTCACAGGGGAGGAGAAAGTTCATCCCTCATACCTGCAGTCCATATTTAATAATGTGATGACGCTGTGTGCCATGTTGCCTCTACTCATCTTCACCTGCCTTAACTCCTTTATCCATCAGAGGTATGATCTTTATAGCTTCTCCAAAATGAAAATTCCAGACCTCTCTCCCTGTGAATCCTTTGATTCTCAGCATAGTGGCAGCATTCAGGCTAGGTCAGTTTTGATCTTCTCAATGGGAAAAGAACTTTGCATTCTGTCCTGCAAAGATGGATCAGTTTTAGTATTTATGAGGTTACTCCGAGCATTTGGTTTATTTCCATATAAGTGACCCAGAACAGTTTTAGGAGCACAGTATCTAAACACAAAAATAATTTGTTTTACTTTGCTGTATTGTCTTTAGGTTTTTGAAGTAGATAGTTACTTCAATTTTACTAGGTGTTATTTTAGTTTTACATAAATGGAAGCAACTGCTTATATCATAACTGAACCAGAATGCAACAGAAAATTCATAGATACATTAAAAAAATTCTCTTCATTTATGTTCACAAATTCAACATGGTCTGTCTAGATTAGCTCCCCAACCTGAGTGTTTCCAGATGTGTGTACTTTAACTCCCTGAAGCATGACAATTGCTGAACATTCTGAGAATTGAAGACCACACATCTGGAGGATATCCAGGCTGGGAAAAGCTATTTCAGATTGTGCTTATGTATGTAAAAACAGGTTATCCGTAGGTTCAAGTTTTATCTCAATTAGATTTCATTATGATTTTAGAAAGCCAAGGAGTTTGTTTCTCTATCTTTTCCCATTTCTTAGGATCCCTCAACAAGTACGGATCATATCTAGTTTGGCTGCCATCTTCTTGGTCTTCATGATAACAGCTATCCTAGTCAAGTTCCCAATGGAGCCTTTGCCTTTTTTCATCATTACCATGGTCAAGATAGTCCTCATCAATTGTAAGTGAAGTTCTATTGTGTGTATACGTATGTGTACATACACACATACATATATGAATTATAAAAGCCGCCAGACCTTTTTCAGGCTCACAGGTATATGTATACATATATAGGTAAAACCATTCTGTCTCTGATGTGCAATTCATCTTTACCAATGTTCTGAGAAACTAACAATTTTTAATATTGAGCACTCTGTTGGGGTGTTGAATGGGAAGAATGTAATTCTTGTAGATCCAATTTTTGCCAGTAGGAGAATGTCCAAGAGCAGATAGAAGCATTGTTTCCCATCAGTGCTGAATGTAGCGTGCAAGCTAAGCTACATCCAGATAGCCTCCTGCCCTTCAGTTATAGTGCTTCCTTTCTCTGGATCAGATCTGTTTCCCATTCCCTTTAAAATGTTTTTCTGTCTTTTTTCCGGACAGCCTTTGGGGCCATTCTCCAAGGCAGCCTCTTTGGATTGGCAGGGCTCCTGCCTGCCAGTTACACGGCACCTATTATGAGTGGGCAGGGTCTCGCAGGGACTTTCGCAGCAGTTGCCATGATCTGTGCTATTGCCAGTGAGTATTACATATTGATTTATTGTTTTGGTTTATGCCACACCTTTCAACCCATAAAGCATCCAAGGCGGGGTATAAATTGTCTCTCTGTGTAATATTGATGTACAACTATATGTCACTTACAGGCAGCCTCTGATATTTCAGAGAGCAAGAGGTTTGCTCAGAAGCCACCCATCACCAAGGAAAGGGCTGCCACTCCTCTTTAAATCTTTTTCAGGTGGTTCTAGACTAGAAGAAAGTGCCTTTGGTTACTTCATCACAGCCTGTGTTGTGATCCTGATAGCTATTGGCTCCTACATCATGTTGCCTCGTCTGGTAAGATTGTTTTTCCTGAAAGTAGCCCTGAGTATGCTGAAGTAGTGGGCAACTGGGGGAGTCTCCTGACATGCAAGCACCCTTTTCCAAAGATGACTGTGCTCTTCATTCAGTCCTCAATGATAGGTCAGAAGATATCCCAGTGTGTTTCAGGAGAGTTCCCATTGTCCAGCCACAACCTGTTTTTTGGTCGCTGTTTCATTTTCCTTCCATACCACCTGCTTAGTATCTTAATATTTCCACAGGATTTCTTCTGCTTTTATTCCATGAAGAATAAGAGAGAGTATCAAACTTCTGTGACTCAGGCTGAGATGGAAACAAAAGTTGATCTCATCAAGAAAGGTAAAAGCCAGAAAAGAGGGGAGTATGGAAAGAAGGGAAGTGTATTCATATCCATTAATGCCGGATGGAAAGTCAGTGGCACATCAGATGTTCCTGAATTACAAATAATATTGTGACCAATGGTAAAGGATGCTGGAAGCTGTAGATCAGCAACAAATCAAAGGTCATAGGTACCAAATCTCTGATTTAATGCATGTGGGGTCCTCATCAGAACCTCAAAGCAATCAAAAACCTTCGCCTATTTTTATTCTCTTTATTCAATGTATTAGTTGTCCTATATTTTTTTTCTCAAGTTAGCAAGATAAAATAAAATCCAGTGACATCCACATATGTTGATGACCTAGCATGAGATTTCTTATAAGATGTGCCACTGGTAATATCTTCATCTAGAGCTCTGCAGAATAACCACCTGCCAGCATCTACTGAATAATAAAGAATACTAGGATTTTTCTCTTCTAGCCCTTGCTGTTGCCCTTCAAGGATCATTTGTGAGAGGAGATGTACCAACCTTTGAATACAACCAGACTAGAAGACCGTAGTAAAAAAACAAAAAACAAAAAAGAAATCCTGTTTATTTAGGCAATCTCTCAATAACACAACTTTAGAAAAATAATTTACTGAAATGCAGTAATGGGTTTTACAATCTCTCTATTCTCATTAAGTTTCCCTCACGCTCTCCACTGTACCAAATGTTTCGTTTTGATTTCTGCTGTCAACCATTCAAGACATTTTTTTTTTGGTAGAAGTATCATATTCACATACAAAACAGCAAAGACTAAAATATAACAGGCAGTAGTGATTAAAATAGCTTCACACAGATAAAACCACTTTAAAATAGCAATTGGAAGCATTTAAGCAAAAAAATCTTTGCCTTTCACCAAATAGATTCCAGGCCAACTTCTCCGGAAACAACATTTCATGACAGGACTATTCAGACATAGTTACTTGCAGTTCAGTATGTGAAGGCACCTGGAGCACAGACCTCGCTGACACCTAAGATATGGGTAGGAATATAGGGGAAGAGGCACTCCTTCAGATACTGTGGCTCTGAATTATGAAGCTTCATAGCTTAAAATCAGCATTTTAAAATGGAGCCAGTGAAAAATAAAGACAATGCTGGCTCAATAATAATGTTCAGTCCTAGTTTCTGCAAAATATACGTATTAAAGGTTCATTTGGTGGAGTCCTTGGTACTCTTTGAGCTTGGTGGTTTGCCTGCAGACATTTCATTACCTGACTAGGTAACATCATCAGTGCACTGATGTTACCTAGTTGGGTAAGGAAATGTCTGCAAGCAAACAACCAAACTCAGAGAGCATCAAGGATTCTACAGTTCAGTCCTGAGCTACATATATTCTCTTGTATTGAAAGTTTGTTTTGTCAAAATTGCCTTTTTCATCTGTCCATAGATGAGGTTAATGGTGTTGAACAAAACCACTCTGTGAATGGAGGTCCCCATGCCTCCAGCCACGAATCTTCAGTCCTCGGGATCTTCAAAAAGGTACTTGACCTATGGATTGGGCCTAGGCATGGGTCTTTTTCACACCCTAATATTCTGTTTCTGTGTTTGTTTTTTAAAAAAATATTACCTGGAATCCTGTGGTTGTATTTGCCTTTGTATATATCTTCTCTCTCCTAGATATGGGTTATGGCTGTTTCTGTCTGCTTAGTTTTTACTGTTACAATTGGAGTCTTCCCGGCTGTCACTGTTGCAGTAAAGCCAACTATTGGAGAAAATACACTTTGGGGTAAGCTAAACTTGGCTCTTGAGAGTGATTAAGATCTACAGTGATGAAGCAAAGTTTGTGAACCTTTTAGAAGTATCCGTAATCCTGCAGTACTTTGACAATTTAATCTGAGCTCCATCTAAGTCCCACTAATAAAAAAATATGGTTAAACAAAGAACAAACAAAACAGGAGATTTATGAAACTGCTTCAGTTCATTGACATTTTGGGGTTGAACTTCTCACAACATTTCACAGTCCTTGGGGCTGTGAGCTCAGCCACCTGCTCTTTAGATCCATGCCCCTCCTGGCTGGTTAAAGTGGCCTGGGGGGGGTGTCGTGTGAGTGGGTTCTAGCCATGGTTAATGCATCTTTGAGTGAGGGGTTGTTCCCTCACCTCTTAAGGAGGCCTTGGTTTGCCCCCTCCTCAAGAGGCCATCTCTAGACCCCACTATACTGGACAATTTTCATCCAGTATCTAACCTTCCCTTTTTGGGGAAGGTGATTGAAAAGTGGTTGCGCAATAACTTCAGAGGACCTTGGATTATCTGGATCCCTTTCAGTTGGGATTCAGGCGTGGGTATGGGACGGAAACAGCATTGGTCGTGCTTTTGGATGATCTCTGGCGAGGGTGGGATGGGGTTTGTGCATCCATCCTTGCCCTACTTGACCTCTCTCTGGCTTTCAATACCATAGTATCCTTCTGGATTAGCTCAGAGGATTGGGGGTGGGCGGCACTGTTTTGGGGTTGTTCACCTCCTTCCTCTGGGGCTGATTCCAGTCAGCGGTGGTTGGGGAGGAGAGATCCCACTCTTGGCACCTGTTATGTGGGGTGCCACAGGGTTCTGTGCTCTTCCCCCTCTTATTTAATATCTACACAAGGCTGCTGGGTGAGCTCATCCATCACCATGGGGTGAGGTATCATCAGTATGTTGATGATACCCAATTATACATCTCTGCCCCTGGCGAATTAAGTGATGCTGTGAATGTCTTAACCCCGTGCCTGGAGGCTGTGAGGGTCTGAATGAGGAACAACAGGCTTCAGCTGTACCCTGGCAAGACTGAGTGGCTTTGGGTTTGGGGGCCTTCTGGTGCTAGGGCTATGCCATCTTTGGTACTGAATGGGGTTGCACTGCCCTAGACAGACCCTGTGCACAATCTGGAAGTCCTCCTGGACTCACAACTCCTGCTCAAAGAGCAGGTGGCAGTCATGGCTAGGAGGGCCTTTGCACAGCTTTGTGTTGTGCACCAGTTGTGCCCATTCCTAGATCAGAGAGACCTACTCACTGTCACTCATGCCCTAGTCACTTCCTGTCTGGATTTCTGTAATGCCCTTTATATGGGGCTGCCCTTGAAGAGTATCCAGAAGCTTCAGCTGGTGCAAAATACAGTGGCACCGGCAGTTATGTCTGCCCCTAGGGCAGTACATGTTACACCTCTGCTCCATGAGCTGCATTGGCTGCCAGTTTGCTTCCAGGTCCAATTCAGGGTGCTGATTTTGATCTTTAAAGCCCTTCATGGCATGGGACCGGGTTACCTGAGGGACATGCTGTGGGTCCTGTCTGCCAGAGAATTACACTAGGCAGGTCCCAGGAGGCGGGCCTTCTCTGCTGTGGTGCCTGCCTTGTGGAATCTTCTCCCGCTAGAAGTGAAATTAGCTCCATCCCTCTTAAACATTCTGCAAGTCCCTCAAGACCTGGCTATGTGATCAGACCTGGGGCACTCAGGGGACTGGGGAGATTTTGCAATGGCTCCTTTATTAATTTTATCCCCTCCTGTTTTGTGTGCTGTTTTGTGTGCTTGTATAGTTTTTTATTTGTAATTGTTTGTATGTATTTATTCTTTTTATTGTTGTACACCGCCCAGAGTCACTTTGTCTGAGATGGGCAGCTATATAAATATGATAGATAGATAGATAGATAGATAGATAGATAGATATATATATAGATAGATAGATAGATGGAAAAAGAAAGAAAGAAAGAAAGAGAGAGAGAGAGAGAGAGAGAGAGAGAGA